ATAATAGCTCCGCTAGCTATAATTTTTATTTTTGATGTCATTACACCCGGACGAGTGTCTCCCCTCTAAACATGAGCATAAGCCTACTCAATTATGCTACATGACTTTAGTTAGAATGTATCACTCCAAATATTATTGAGTAAGTCATCCAATCCATCCAAGAAAATATATTTTATTTCCTTCTTATAATAAAGAGTTATATTTTCTTTATATTTGTTGTACAATCTATAAGGTTAGGGCATCGAAAATCTATCTCACGCCGCAACTCTTATAACATTATAGTATTTTTTAATTGATCCTCCTCTCTACCGTATCCAAGTTACCAACTTGTGAAGTATTAGTTCCATTAAGATATATAATAGAAATGGAGTTTTAAACCTGTTTGGCTGTTGGAAAGTGAATGAAAATTGTGACAATTGATTGATCCATTAAACTGATCAACCATCCTTTCACTATAGAATCCTCAATGTGTCATTTATAGAATGTTGGGTCTGTTTCAAGTGGCTAAGATAAGTCTCCATCATTATATCCTAGTTTGTCCTTGTATGAGATGTACATCTCAGCCACGGGTATAATTGGATCCATCTAACTTGATGCTGATCAGTGTTGTAGAGGAATCAATGATAGATGATTATGTTGTAGCTTGGGTTTTTGTCAAAATAGGTGGTCATCAAGAATGAAATATGTGGAAGTATTTGGTAGTTATATCAATTTAGTGGAATTAGTCATAGAGTTTGAGTTGTTTAGTTCCATTTCTTGGTCATGTTATAGGAATCTTAAAATCATTGATATGATACTATATCAAATCTAGTAAAATTTCATATATTAATTCAATATTTTGTTTTAACCAAATTATAGAATATATAGATATAAAGGGAGATATTTTAAAGATATATTCTTAGCTACTATAATATACTTGGCTAAAATTATAGTTGACCCTTAAATAAATAGCTTTGATATATATAGCTAATATTTTATTTTAGTGACTCAATATAGTTTGTTTTAAACAAATAAATATTTTTTAATTTCATTGATTTGAAAATTAATAAAATGATTCACCAATCTCAATCTCATTCACATGTAAAGCCTGTCATATCATTGCAAATGATAGAATCTCAAAAAAGAAAAAGAAAAAAGATGTTTCCAATGTATAATATGAAAAAAAATTAAATACCTCATATCTTCTAATTATATAGTGAAAATGAAAGACTAAAGAATAATGGTTTTATCTTTCTCTATACATTTGCTATTTGTTTCGAGTGATTAATTTTTTCATTAAGTTATGTAATTAATACACCATAATGTTTAATGAATGTATCCAGATCTAGTGTTATTGAATTTCCATATGAAAGGATACAAAACTTGATTATAAAAGATATGCAAAGGCATGTCTTCAAAATCCCATATTTTTCAACATGGTTGCCATGTTTTTTTTTTTATTGTAAAAAATGAAAATAAAAATAAATTATAAGAATGAATGCATAAAGACATTGATTTCCTCCATAACTGTCTTTTATCAATCTTTATATCGCCTATATGTTTGTTAATATCAAGAAGGTTAAAATTAGTTTTTTTTAACTAGAGGTGATTATTTTTTGTTTGGTTCGGTTTTTACTCTAAAAAACAACCAAATAAAAAACAGACTCGAAATTAGACCAAAACTAGCCTATCCGGTTCGGTTTTGGTCTGGTTTTTTATCCAAAAAACGGGACAAACCTATATGTATTTTTGGGCTTTTTAATGGGCTTTGTAATGAGCTTCTAATGGATTTATGTTAAGCTTACAATTAATGTTGATATTGTCTCATTTTCTTTGAAGATTCCAAATACATTTAATTTTTTTACCCCTAAATATTCAATTGTATTAAATAGTTATAGTCAATCTTATATTTATTAAATTTTTTGGCCACTAAATATTTATTTATATGAAATTATTAATGTCAATCTTGTGTTCGATATATTTTTTAACTTACTAATATTTTTCTACTTCCAAAAAGTTTAAATAAATAACACACACTCATAATTAAAATCCAAATTTCAAACCATTGCCTTTAAAAGGTTTAACGAAAAAATAACAAATAATATTATTATAAAACACTCCAAGCCACAAAAAATAAATCTTTATGTGCACATCGTCTTAATAAAAAAGCACTTCAAGAGCATTGCACTTTGATTCTTGAAATTTCTAATATAAAATTATAACATAATAAATTAAATTGGAAGATATAAAAATAAAAAATAAAAGATATTTATACCATACACTTTCAATAAATGCATCACAATTTATGAACTAATTATCATCTGTTGCTAAATGTAACTTTATTATCATTCGTTGCTAAATGCAACTTTCTACCAAATTCTACAAAATAAAATATTAAACATGTTAGAATATAAATTTGTTAATTAATAAATCATAAAATAAAAGGTGTAAGTTTTTAAGAAGCATTATCTAATTCAAGATTTTCATAGGTTTCAAAATCATTCATCAAGGTTATATTATTAGTTGGAATTGGACTATGATGCAACCAATTTTAACAATAAATAAGTGTTTGAACTGCTGTTGGAGATAGAGAACTTCAAAATTAGTCGAGTATATAACTGTCTATGCTAAAGGCTACTTTGGAAGCCGTTGTGGATATAGAAATAGCCAGAACATGTTGTGTAACTTTTGGAAGTATCTTATATTTTGAAGCATTAATCTTTCACCAACCCAAAATATCTAATTTATCATCATTAGGATCCTTGCAACCATCAACCAAATACCTCTCAACCTTATTTCTATTTTCCACACTATCTTCCTCCTATAAATGCCTTTTAAACTGAGTTAAAGTGTTAACATCTACCTCCATGTCATAAATAGCATCATTAACATCTTGTATATGCCTATTATCATCCACCACTTCATCGGCTTTCAAATAAAACTCATACAAGCTTACCAAATTATCTTTCATTTTTTTTTTGGCAATTGTACTTTGTCATAATCATACAACTCACCAAAACAAAATTTCACATATTTCAACTTAAGATGTGGATCCAAAACATTAGCCACATACAATAAAAAATTCCGATTTGTTACACAACCCTAATATTTCTCACACTTACTCATCATGTTCATTGTTATTCCAATCAAAAGATTATCTCTACTTTTACATAATTGCAACAAGTTTGTATGCATGTAAATCAATTCATTTAAAAAAGAATTTGATATAACATGCAATGAGTCAGAAAATTTCATTGTAACCATGTAAAAGATCTTTAAAAACTTCAGCAAAGTTCTAATATTTTTCCAATCCTCCAAACTAGGTGACCCTATGTTTTTTTATTCCCTTTTGAATCAACCTCCAAAAAGCAACTCTATACCTAGGTTCACTTTGGCCTAACCTCACAAACACCTTTTCAAACTTTTCAACAGCTTCTAACATAAGATAAGTTGAATTTCATCAAGTTGCAACATCCAAACACAATGATTTTTTATACTCTATATGCAACTTTTCTGCATACTTTTTAAATACAAATAGCCTAGAGGGTGAAGATTTCACAAATCTAATTGCATTTCAAATCTTAACAACTGAAACATTCATCTCTTTCAAACCATCACAAGCAATGAGATTTATATTGTGTGCACAACATCTAACATGCAAATGTTCATTTGACAATATATTAGTTGGCCAATCTTTCATCATATTCTTTAAATATGAAATGGTAACACTATTAGAGCTTGCATTGTCTATTATAACAGTTAAAAGTTTATCAATCTCCCAATTTAACAAACAATTCTCAATAACTTAACCAATTGTCTCACCTATATGATTGAAAACTTGATAAAAATTCAGAATTTTTTTATACAAATTCCACTCATTATCAATCCAAAAAGCCGTTAAGGACATATAGTTAATTTTTTGGATTGATATCTATGTATTTGTTGTTAAGCATAATCATTGACCCTTAAGAACTCTCTTTAATCTTTCCTTTTCTTCAAAATAAAGTTTCAAACAATCTCTCATAACAGTGGAACAAGAAAAAATGTCAAATCTAGGCTGCAAAGTCCTAGAAAATAATCTAAATCCCTTACCCTCCACAAAATTAAAAGTTAACTCATCAATTATAACCATTTTCACTAGTGTCTTTCTATATTCATCATAATCATAACCTATTATCTTAAGAGTTCCCACACTTTGATCTCCTAATTCACCCTCTACTTTATTAGGTTCTAATACCAAAATTGTTCGCTTCTTATCAACTACAAAAGAAAACTTTTTGCATGCTTTCAAATGAATCCACATATTACTTATCCTATTAATAATAGTATAACATGCATAATTCTTCCCACAATAATTATATTCAACTCTAGGGATTGTAGGATCACCATAAGTTTTGTAAAATAATCCCAAATTTATGATTTTTTTTTATCATTAACATTTTTTTCCTTGATGCAAAGACTTAAAGTTGTTTACCTTCATTATCCGTAGTGGATCCTGTAGTAGTTGATATCGGGTTAGTGTTTGAAGCTGGGACATTGCTTGATGTTGGGGTAGTGCTAGTGGATAAAGCATTTTGATTTTGAAGGTCTTCCATATGTAATTAGCAAATACAAACATGTTCATTATCACTTGCACAATTCTTTTCAGCACTTAATAAACATAAAGATTAAAAGCATGTTTAAAAATTAAAATGAAACAAATATTACAGAAGTAACATGTCAAAACAAGTTTAGAAAATCTATCAATGAAGAAAAAATAATTATAGAAGTAACAGAACAATGAATACAAGAATAACATGATTTTAATGAATACAGAATGCTAATCAAAATCATCCAAAACAGAATAATGAATACATTTCATAGAATGACAAAACAAAACTGAATAAAAAAACCCATCAAAACAAAACTAGTTTGTAGAATCAAGTTAATCAACACAGGCTTATAAACAAGATTTTAATCAAACTACTTGGCATGACCTTATAAATCAACCAACACAGCAATAAAATCAATAGTTCGTCTATTTTTAGTACTCAATCTGTAGGAAAACTGAACTTCTATTCATGTATGTTGTTCGTGCCTTTAAATAGGCATTTCATACATTACAGGTCATTACTTCATACTATATATACATGATTTGATGCAGAAATTATGGAGATCATGACATAAATGGAATGAGGAATTATAGCAGGGGATCTCTCAATAGAGTAATGTGTGCAGAAGATCTATGCAGGATTTCTGCATTTGAATCCTGTATGGAATCGCTGCATATATTTCCATATTTCTTCATCCCCCTTCAAGCTCAAGGCGAGGCTGGACCGAGGCAGAGCTTGGCGTGATTCAATATAAACGTTACAGCGCAAAGTGATTTGGTAAAAATATCCGCAATTTGACCGGATCCTGGAATATGAGCCAAGGAAAGAGCACCACTTACAACTCGTTCGCGAACAAAGTGAACATCTATTTCAATGTGTTTTGTACGATGATGAAAAATTGGATTTTTAGCCATATGGATGGCACTAATATTATCACAATAGAGCTGAAGAGAAGGAACACAGTGGCCAATAGTGTTGAGTAAATGGACGAACCACATGAGCTCAGCTGTTGTGGAAGTTAAGGCGCGATACTCTGCCTCAGCTGTTGACCTAGACACCGTGGCCTGTTTCATAGCACCCGATATCAAATTTGTGCCTAAAAAGATAGCGAACCCCGTAATGGAATGTCGGTCATCCCTACAGACAGCCAATCAGCGTCACAAAAACCACGAAGTTCATAAATAGGATTGCGAATGTAATGCAGTCCAACATTGAGTGTCCCCTTCAGATACCGAAAAATTCTTTTCACAGCAATAAGATGAGTATCACGAGGTGTCTGCATGAATCTGCAAACATGATGTACAACAAATGAAATGTCTAGCCTAGTCAGGGTGAAGTGTTGCAGAGAACCAACCAAACAATGATAGTGAGAAGGATCAGCTAAGGGAACACCATCAGTGGCAGACATGGAAGAACCTGCTGCCAGTGGAGTGCTTACTGGTTTGGCACCATCAAGACCAAACTTCTAAAGAAGAGATAGCAGATACCATGTTTGAGTGATTGTGATTGTAGACTCATCACGGGCAATTTGAAGTCCTAAGAAATAATGAATGTCACCAAGGTCTCTCATATGGAAGACAACAGAGAAATAGGCAATAAGCTTGATAATCTGTGAAGAGGAGCTGCCTATTAAAGGAATGTCATCAACATAAATGAGCAAAAGGAGTATGTCTGAGCCTTGGTGGAGATAAAATAAGGATTGATCATAGGGGCATCGTGTAAATCCCATTTGCTGAATGTAGTTACTAAATTTGAGGTACCATGCACGAGGAGCCTGCTCCAACCCATATGAAGCTTTATGAAGGTGGCAAACATAATCAGGATGAGAGGAATCTTCAAAACCTGGAGGTTGAGCCAGATACACTTGCTTCTGTAGATCTCCATGAAGGAAGGCATTACTAACATCTAGTTGTTTGACAAACCATCCATGAGACAAGCCAATGGTGAGGATAAGCCGAATGGTCCATGAGACTGAATGTTTCATCATAATCAAGTCCTGGTTGCTGTGAAAATCCACAAGCCACCAGCCAAGCTTTATATCTTTCAATGGAACCATCAGATCATGTTTAGATTTTAAACACCCATTTGATACTGATAATATTCATGTTGGCTTGTCTAAGTACCAAGGTCCAGGTTTTGTTGTTGTGAAGGGCATCCATTTCAGCTGGCATTGCTTGAATCCAATGTGGATGTTGGAGAGCTTGTTGAACTGAGGATGGCTCCTGTGGTTGGGCAACAAGATCAGCAATAAAACAGGCGGGGATAGGATGTCGGGAAGAAATAAAGACCTTAGGTTTTAGTTTCCCTGTCTAAGTGCGTGTAATCATATGATGTTGTCGTTGTGAAGGTGGAGCAGATGCAAGAGAAATCACTGGTGGGACAGGATTTTCTACTGCAGTGGATGAAGATAATGAAGCAGAAGCTGCAGATTGAGATAATAAAGCAGAAGCTGTAGATTGAGATGCTGAAGCTTCTTGAGCAGTTTCAGTATGTGGAACAATTGTTGTTGGATCATGAGAACTGACTTGTGTAGCTGTGGCAATTGATTTTTCTGCCACAGTTTTGAGTAGTCGAGGAAGTGCCTTAATTTGAAACAACTGAGAGGCATGTGTATCAGGTGGCTGCATGCATTTGTATGGAAACTGGAGTTCATTAAATTTCACATGGCATGATATGTAGAAGCAATGTGTCCATGGCTCAAAGCAGATATAGCCTTTGTGATTGGTAGAGTAACCAAGAAAGACACATCGTGTGGATTTAAAATCCAACTTTAAACGACCAAATGGTGCCAGCAAGGGATAACAGGAACATCCAAACACTCGGAAGGAGTCATAAGTAGGAGCAGAGCCAAAAACCACTTCATGTGGTGACTTGTAACCCAAGACTGAAGTCGGTAAGCGATTAATTAGGAACACTGCAGTGCGAAACGCTGCAGTCCAGAATTTTATTGGAACAGAAGCATGTGATAGCAGAGTTAATCCTGTTTCTACGATATGTCGATGACGTCGTTTGGCTAATCCATTTTGTTCTAGTGTTCCTGGACATGAAATTTTATGAATGATGCCATTAGTTTTGAAAAGATTCTGAAGACTTTGATTAACAAACTCACCGCCTCCATCGCTTTGAAATATTTTAACATGTGCATCAAATTATGTTTCCATTTACTTGAGAAAGGAAGGAAATATTATTACTACATCAGATTTTTGATGCATAGGAAATAACCATATATACCGAGAATACTCATCAACAAGAATTAAATAGAATCGGTTTCCATCAAAAGAAGTCGCAGAAGCAGGACCCAGACATCAGAATGCAGTGTATGTAGAAAAGTAGTAGCATATGATTTTCTAGATTCAAACGGTAACTTAGTTGATTTTCCCAAAACACAGCTTTCATAGAAAGCATTTTGTTTATCCATAGATGGTAAACATAACTTTGTAAGAATTCTGGCTTAAGGGTGTCCCAGTCGTGCATGTCATAGGTTGCTGGACACTTTATTTGCTAAAACACTGACTGGAATTGTAGAGAATTTCTACAGATTGATCGGATATAACCCATCCTTTATGAAACCTTTAAGAATTACCTGTTTCGTCTTCATGTCCTTAAGAATAAAACCCCATGGATAAAACAGAAAATAGTAGTTATTATCTCTTGTAAACTGAGATACAGATAATAATTTCTTCTTAATTTCAGGAACCACGAGGACATCTTTTAGCTTGAGATTGGTAGTGGGAATAGTAACGTTTCTAGTACCAGTAATAGGCAAGCCCTGGCCATTTCCAACCATAACAGAGTCATTTCTAGGATAAGAAATAATACCTTGGACTTCATTTGTGTTAGACGACATATGCTGGTTTGCTCCTGTGTCAGAATACCATAGGTCTTCTGCAGTTTCACCAATTTTGATTGCAGCAAAGGCCTTGTACTGATCAGCTTCTTCATTAGATGCGAAAAATCCATCTGCTTTGTGATTAGGTCCTCCACATCGAAAACAAGTGATGCTACCACACCTACGATTACTGTTATGTGAAATTTGTTTCTGACAGGTTCCATTGAAGCTTCCATTTTGGCAAGGAAAACGAGTCTCTTTAGCTCGTAGTAGATTGTTGTTAGGAGGATTTCTCACAGTAAAGCTGCGATGATTGCGACCACGAGTGCTGGTGTTTATCCATGGCTTTGAGTTTGTGTGGCCATGATTTGTATAAAATGCCATAGAGGGAGCAGTTGTTCTTGCTCCTTGAATTCGAATTTCAAAGTCACGAAGTTTGCCAATAATTCCTTCAAGAGATGGAAAAGTGTCTCTAGCATTTAATGTTGCTACTATAGGATCAAATTCAAATCCTAATCCCTGAAGAATACAAATGATGAATTCATCATCATCCATTGGTTTACCTGCACCACAGAGAGATAGAGCCAAAGCTTTTGCTTTTTGTAAATAATCTTCCAGTGAAGAAGTACCTTTTGTTAGAGACTGTAGTTCGCCTTTGATTTGTTGGATGCGATCTCGAGTGTGAGTGCCATAAAGGCTCTCTAACACTTGCCATGCATCATGCGAAGATCCACTATTGATGACTTGGGAAAGAGATCCATCAGATAGTGAACTGTTGATCCATCCAAGGATCAATTGATCTGTGCGCAGCCAAACTGCTGCAGCAGGGTTTGTTTGCAACTCACCATTCTCACCAATGATAGTTGATTTTGGGCAAGGGACTTCATCCTTCACATATCCAAGGAGTCCATAACCATGTAAAACAGGGAGAACCTGTGCTTTCCACAGAAGATAATTGTTTGAAGCCAGTTTGATGGAGCTATCAGGCAAATGTGATTTTGGGAGTGTAGTCTCAAGAGAAGAAGCAGAAAATGTTGTTTGAACTGAAGAAGAAGATGTCATAGTGATAAAGGGCTCTGATACCATGTAGGAAAACTGAACTTCTATTATGTATATTGTTCGTGCCTTTAAATAGGCATTTCATACATTACAGGCCATTACTTCTTACTATATATATACATGATTTGATGCAGGAATTATGGAGATCATGACATAAATGGAATGAGGAATTATAGTAGGGGATCTCTCAATAGAGTAATGTGTGCAGAAGATCTATGCAGGATTTTTGCACTTGAATCCTGTATGGAGTCGCTGCATATATTTCCATATTTCTTCACAATCAACATAGCAACAACAATATAATTAACACAAGTTTACAGTAGCAGATATTGAAATTACATTTACAAAATAGCAAAATAAACTGTAAAATTACATGTAAGATTCTAAAATTACATGTACAAGACAACTCTAATCCTTAACTGCAAATAATTATAAAAATGACAATTTTGATTAAAAATAATCATACCAAAATAATCATAATCCTAAACTGCTAAATCTCTTCTATTCAAACAAAGAAAAAAAGAAATTCGCTTTAATCACTCAAATAGCTCTAAATTCTAATTTAAACCAAAATCAAAATTCATCACCCAACAAAATTGATTAAAAATAACAATACGCTTAACTATATGAATTAATTAGAAAGGAGAAAAAAATTAAAACTCACTGGTTTTGAGTGGCTGAGGAAACATCGGTCTGATTGAAACACCAACTGTGTTGATCCAGTGAAAACTGAGGAAACATACAAAAAATAAAGTTAACTATATTAAAAATAATAATAACCTTAACCGAATTAATTAATAAGAAAGGAGAAAAAAAATTAAAACTCACTGATTTTGAAAAGCCAAGGAAACGTTGGTCTGATGGAAACACAGACTATTTTGGTCCAATGGAGACTAAGGAAACGTCGATGGTCGATCTGTATTTATGTTTTCTTAGTCTAAGGAGAGTAGAGGGTGGAAAGGGAGAGGCGGATAGGCGAGAAGGGACAGGTTGCGGGTGCTCTGATATAGGGACAGCCTTAGCGGAGGTTGGAGAGGGCAAGAGAGCGGGGGACAGGACAACGAGTGGCTCTGAGTAACAAAAAGAGAGATTGTTTGAAAATTAAAATTCAAACTGTTTAGGGTTAGCGGAGGGTAAACCGAAGAGAAGAGAGGGGCACGACATGGCAACATTTTCTATTTATACTAGGGATCTTTTTTTCTAACAGGTCCGATCCGATTAACCTAATTTCTACATTACAAAATTGAAAATGGAACTGGATAGGAGTTTTTTCTACATAATTTAATTGATTTCATCTGTTTTATTTTTCAGTTTGATTTTTTTAATTAATTTTTTATTGATTTTTATTGATTTACTTGGTTTATCAGTTTTTTTTTTTTAATATCTCTACTTTTAATTTTGCTTCATGTGAAAAATGATCGATGTATCCATGGCTTGGCTTGGTGTGGACGCATCATATAATTACACATGCATGCTACCGCTTGTCACACAAGGACATTCATGTACAACCGACAAAGACTACCGTACGCCATCTTCTTTTTAGGATTTATATTATCTCCCGTATAGTAATTCTGTGAAAAGCCTATGTTTTAACCCAGGCACCAAAAAAAGGGGCCTTAGTTATCCGCCCAACATTTTTTTTTTTTCATCAAATTCTTATGGGTTTTCTAGTTATGACATTATGTTCCAGTTCCTTTACTAGGTTGCCGTCAAGAATTAAGAGTTTTTTCTATTATATGTTTGGGCTTCTAGGATGTTTTTATGTCAATGTCTTGCTCAGTTGTCTGATTTTATGGTTGAAATGTATAGTTGGGCTCTACAGATTCCGAACAAGAGGAGCATATGAGAGAATAAGAAAAAAAGAAGGCAAGGATGGATTTTTAGAGAACTGCTAGTTTAGTTCCTGAATGGAACTCTTGGGCTCTACTTCTTTGCTGCAGAATTATGTTTCTGGTATTTTTTCCTCGAAATTTGATCTTCTTCATAATTCTTCTATCATGTATCAGCATGAATTAAGCCGAGCTGCCTGCCGATTCCTTGCATACTGAATTGCTTTCTCAAGATGCAAAAACTCGTCCTCATCGAAGTGAGTGCCAGACAAGTTAAAACAACCGAACAACAACAGGAGGCATGCTTGTCCTTTGTCATGGGGCAGAGAGAAGTAGAGTTCTTGTGCCAGAAGTTACGTAAGCTTCAAGGAGGTTGATCCCTCGTAATGGCAAACAGAACGTTGGGAAGAGGTCACCACAATGCTTGAAAATGAGGCATGTGAGATTCAGGGCAATTACAGTAACCAGCAAACTGACAGTTTTGACTCTAATGATGAAGATTGCAAGATTTTAATGAGGAATTGGATGTGTCTTATGATTCAGAAACAGAGAGTGAAGCAGAAATTGATGGCGGCGTTGCAGAAAGTAATGTTGATCTTGTAGGAAAAGGAGGGAGCCTTGCCTCATTAAAGGCTTCTTTCGAAACATTCAAATTACCTTTTGATAACACTGTTCTACGTCCATTTCATTCATATATATAATGAACAAAATTAACTCGCAAACTAAATTGGATCCTCATAGAATTGTCACTCGGTGGCAATACAAATACAAGGATTTTTCAGTAGTGTCAGTTTCTCAATACAGGATCTGTACAATTTGATGAAAACATCAAGCCCTTTGGAGCTTCGATTATACTACTATAATACAACAAAAGAACCCTCAATCATGAAAATACTATCACAAAACAGCTTCTTCTATAACTTGATCTTCCATTATTCGAAGTCTCTTCAAAATAGAAAAAGAAAAGAAAGGGAAATATATATATTAAAAAAAATTACAAGGCATTCACCTTGGACCAGAGAGCTCCATTGCCTGGACTAGTAATGAAGAGTCATCAGTGAGATCAGAATATCGATCCGACGAGGAGAACTCGTGGGGTTTGGACTTAGTTGCTTCTGCTCTTTGAGAAGCTTCCCATCTCTCTGCAAGACCATCTCCTTCAAGCATTCTAACTACTTCAGACATTTTGGGTCTATGGTTAGGAAGGTATTGGGTGCTCAAGAGGGCAACTTGTACCATCTCTTCAAGCTCAATTCTATCATAATTTCCCTTTATATCCTTGTCTACAAGCATTTCAAGCTTTTTCTCCTGATGAATTTTCTTTACCTGCAATCATAATCAACAACTGTCAGAGACCTGAATTCCAGACGGTAAAACAAAGGTTCCTAAAGCACCTATAGGCAACATGATTCTAAGTAGATTGTACCCACCCAGTCTAGCATGGCTCCTTTCTGGTTCGCTGCCTTGCCAAATTCTATTGCTCTTTGGCCTGTGATTAATTCAAGAAGCAGAATTCCAAATCCAAAAACATCAGTTTTCTCTGAGGATTGACCTGTTGAAAGATATTCAGGTGCTATATGCCCAATGGTGCCTCTGACAGCAGTCGTGACATGTGAATCTTGGTGATCTAAAAGCTTTGCCAACCCAAAATCACCTACTACAGCCTCACAATAATCATCAAGCAATATATTTGCAGCCTTAACATCCCTGTGGATTATCTTTGGATCACACTGCTCATGGAGGTACAAGAGTCCCCTCGCAGCTCCTAAGGCAATTCTCTTCCTGGTGCCCCAATCCAAGACTGGTTTCCCTTCCAAAAATAAAGCAGGATCATCAGTTTAGCTACTCAAAATATTCATTTTTACCAATTTAGGTTAGTGGCATTGACAATCTTAGCAACAGAAATCAAATTATGCTACCTTTGAGACGCAAAGCTACGCTGCCATTGGACATGTATGGATAGACTAAAAGTCTTTCTGTTGGTGTCATACAAAATCCATAGAGCCTAAGGAGGTTCCGGTGCACTGCTAAGCTGATCATCTCAACTTCTGTTTGGAATTGAATCTCTCCTCCAATGGCATTGCCATCTTTAAGCCTCTTGACAGCTACAACAGTCCCATCATGGAGAATCCCTTTGTACACAATGCCAAAACCTCCCTTTCCAAGTATGTTCTTATTGCTAAAGTTGTTTGTCGAAATCTGAAGTTCCCTAAACTGGAACCTCCTCAAGTTTCCAAGAGAAACTTCCTCGTGCTGGCGATCTGATGAACCACGGAGTTGCATCATTGATTACTATAAGGACTAATTACCATAGCAAGTGAAATTGAAGGGTTATATACGTTACACACCTTTAACATCGAAAAACGTTGGTTGATTGTGCCTTTGCCTCCACCACAAAAATAATCCAATCCCAAGAATGATAAGTGAGGCAGAACCAACGCTTGAGCCAAATGCAACAGCTATTTTGTGACTCTTTGGTTTGTCTGAAGGTAGAGCTGCTCAAGATGTGATGAGATTACTGTGAGGATCAATCCAAAGCAAGTAGCAAGTTATGAATCGAGCATCACTGAATCAGGATAGAAAATTCCGGTTTCCTTACTTTGTGTGCTATTCAAGTTCATCGACATTGGCATTAGTGTTGTCCCAAAGCATTCTGGTTCAGAACCTGTTGGGCAGATTAGAGGGTTTCCAGCAATGCTGCCAGAAAAATAAATGCAACAGAAGATGCATTCAAAGTTGGCCTTCCAATACACTATTCTGAGAAAGAGAGAGAGGAAGAGGGGAGAGATTTACCTGAATGTTTTGGTAGGAAATCTTGGTACAGGGCCACTCAGGTTATTGAACGACAAGTCACTGAAATCCACAGGCAAAAACACTTTTGATAACACATTTTAATCAGGTTATAAATCTCTGGTTTACAAGAACAGGGTCGAGATACATACAGTAACACAAGCTGGGTCATGTTAGCCAATGACAAGGGGAATTCTCCAGATAGACTGTTATTATTTAGCCTCCTAATCCAGTTCAAACAACCCAAATTAAAATTAGATCCAAAGGACAGATTCTTTAAGATGCAACAACAAAGTACTTGAGCTTGATATTGTGATTGCAAGATTTCAAACTCACATGTATTCTAGACTCCTCAGATGGCCTAAAGAGGAAGGAATTTTCCCAGTAAAGAAATTATCAGAAAGATCAAGTGTGTGAAGCTTTGAGAGCCGTGCTATTTCTGCAGGAATTGGTCCTGTAATATTATTGCTTTGCAGGAGCCTGAAAATACATATAACATCCCAGAAGTTAAGACCAGTGACATATAAGGAACACTCTTCAAACTTAAGAGATGTCCATTTGTTTCTGATTACTCACACAGTCTGAAGATTTGTCAAGTTGCCAATAGTTGGAGAAAGAGTTCCAGATAAATTCTGGCTTGGAGTTCCCCTGCAACAAGACAATTTCAGCAACCTCAATAAACGATCGTTTCTTGTTTCCTTACAGCTAATTCATATTGGTTTCTTAACATTCATGCTATGTCTAGAAATTTTTGTACTATGAAAATAAAAGATTGTAGAGGACTTACAGGCCAATGACAAGACTCTCAGGAGAGCAAGTTACCATGGTCCAGCTACATGGATCAACAGCATCTCCATCCCAATTATCAAGAACCCCATGAGGATCATGTAAAGAAGCTTTTATTCCGATTAAAGCTTGAACTGAAATATAGACACCATTGTCAAAGAAAAAAAATACCCTTCCATTTTTCTTCATATTTGAAGCTGAAGAAAAAAATAAAGAATCTTGAAGTTACCTTCATAATTTACTCCTTTAGGAGACAACAATCCATTTGCAGTGGTCGAAAACCACAAGAAAACCACAAAATGGAGACCAACTTCTCTTATTCTCATTGCCATTGAAGTCATGAAGTGAGCAAGAACCGCAAAACAAAAAAGAAATGCTAAATTTTTTAGCTAATGGCAACAGTTTTATCTACTAGGAAAAGCAACTTTCAAATCGGATTACTTTTGCTCAAGGTAATCCTTAGATTAGAACCCACTCCCTGCTTTACAAGCCAGAAATCCATTCACCAAATTCTTGCTTGTGTCAGAGCCAAGAAAAGAACCAGTTTTTTTGGTTGTATAAAGGGGACTAGCATTAGCATGCTTGTCATTGAGTCAGTATAGGTTAAGGAAATCATTATATATATATATATATGAAACGCACCAAACGTAATTAAATCTAGGCAATATTCTCAAGAGAAGGAGAGAAATGGAAATTCCCATTTCTGAGATAATCATGCATTGGCCTGACAAGCATATATACTATTGAATTTTATATTCCTCACCACAATTGTAACAACCAAATTAAAAGGGAACAACGCATGAGTGGAATTATAATTATTACAAAACCTCAAGCATTTTTTAATGTTTGTAGGCATAGTGAACCAAAATTCTTTCTGGGTTAGTGAGTCATCAGTCATCTTATTACCTAGAGATGGGTTATGCAAATGTTGTTGTAGTTTGTACGAAAAACAAATACAAAAACAGGAGTATTGTCATGTCTGTATGTACTTTACTCGGTTATGCATGGTTATCAACAACAACCAAAAAAAAAAAGGGGGCAGAGAGAGAAAGAGGGTAAAGGTTGTGTGATCAAATTGTATTGCTTGAGACATGGAGGAATCCTACATTCTCTGGGTTTGGCCATACAGTAAGAGAACTAAAAACCATTTTAAAAACTTTAAATTTTAACATTTTGTGAGAATGTGAGAATCTCGAGGTAGAAAATTGATGGTGGTGGTGGATTTGGTCACCCACCATGCTAGGACCATGAACCCATCAGTATCTGTGGTGGCACTAAACATTTTAGTATCACTTACCATACGTTCATGCCGATGCTTGTCAAGTAGTATGTATGCCCAGTCACTTTGTGCGGTAAAACGTTAAGAGGTTTCCTTTTGTATATTCCATATAGCCAACCACTATCATCTAACAATCACACGCAGAGAGTCTTCTTTTTCCTTCTGCAGACTGTCATTCCAAACCAAAATCTACTCAGAAAAGAGAAACTTTTAATAGCTAAAGCTGCCATCCCACTCTTATCTTTCTATCCTCTGTTAAAAGAGTCGGCCGATACTATGGGTGAATCCAGTGGCTTGTTCATTTGGGTGTATCTCGGATCAAATCAATTAAAAATTCAATTTCTTAAAACCAATATTGTTTCATAGATTAAAAATGAAAAAGAAGAAAAAATCTTACTATTTAACCTGAGTCCACACATTCAACTTATAATAGCATATTGTGCGAAGGTAAACCCTCAGCCATGCTTATAACTACGTTTTCTAGTGATAAAATCATTAATTCCCTTTTATCCATAACGATATAAATGGGTAGTAAGTTTTAAAAAAAGAATAACAAATAGAAAGGTTATCATTGGCTAGTATGAGCATTCAGCATGCTTATAAAATGGGGCATGGAATGTGGTGGTGGATAGGCTTTTGTAGGGCCATTGAAGATTTGCGATGATCATCTTGGAATCCACATTTCGAGCATGTTTCAATAATCATGCGAACCTATAAATTATTAAATTCCCATACCAAATAAACGAGGGCTGATTTTCAGCCCTAGAAGAAGCCTCAATTAATGTAGTAATTGTTCCTTCTAAGAAAAGGGTATATGATGTATTTGATAGGGACACAAGCATCAAAATAGTCCAACGTCAATGTCAATTGTATAAGAATTAGGCAATTCACCAAAGAAGCAATGCATAATGGCATTTGGTTATCATTGTAAGGAATTGCAGGTGTCCACAAAGATTCTAGCATCCATGCTTGAAATTGCCTATTAGCTCGAATTGCAAGTGTGTTTTAGCCAAAAACCAAACACTCACTTCCCCTGTGCAAGATTTTGAATCTAACTATAAAACTCGCACAACTTAATATATTAGCTTGACGAGTCTTACATGTTAATCTAGATTAACTTAAAAGACACCAACTTCCTCTGGCATGGTTTTAAGACAATGATTTTAAACCAATAACCACTAGAAAGTATAAAAGACAACAGATATTCATGTTAAGAGGGCTGAAGCTCTAATCATAGCCAAAATCAAACGTTAAACAATCAGGAATGATTTTGAGCTCATTTATGACTGAGCTAACATGATTCCAAACAACATAATCTATGCAGTGGAGACATGGGAGGGATAAGAATGGCGAAGACCCCAGCAGCCCAAAGGGCAATCATATCACAAGCAAAAGGAAACTGGAATTGACCAAACAGAAGGAAAGAACATGTCACTTTAATGCTATAAAATGACAAATATGTCCAGAGGTTAGGGACAGCTGGGCACAATTGTCTCTTTCCCTTGCATCCCACTGACAGATTTTTTTTCAAAAAAAAGGGGGAGATGCTCACAACTCGTAACCATAACCTTAGATTTTGATTCCAATTATCCATGGTATACTTTAGCTAGCCCTTCATTTGTCAGCATTGTATGTCCTTTCTGCTTCTTTTGTCTTTGGAGACCTGACAACCGTAGGGCCCACCACTCACTTGTGTGACGTGGAACTCTACAGTTAGTAAGATCTTGACATGTGGCAAGGTCTCGTGACCCTCACGTGTTATAATGCCACATGTCATACCATGATTTGATTTGAGAATAGCCCAGGGGGCTAACCTAATCGCCTTTACACTCATGTTCGTGAACACTTATTATTTTTTAAAATAAATTTTATTTAAAATATATTAAAATAATATATTTTTTATTTTTTAAATTTTATTTTTTAACTCAATATCTCAAAATAAAATAAAAATACTAAAAAATAAATTTAAAATAAAAGGTAAATTAAACCACCACTCCAAACATAAAAAAATTAAAAAGATTAACACTAAATTATATAATTTAATTGGTTAGATATTAGATTTGTTTTTTATAAATTATTAATTTGAGTTTTATAAATTTTAAAATTATTAAAAATTTATATAGTTATTAATTTTAAAATTTATAAGATTAATTAAGATATATATAAATTAATTTTAATATTATATTAATTAAAAGAAAAAAAGAAGAAGAAGAAGAAGAATTGAGGAGATAGAAGGGTAAGAATTGGGTGCATGTAGCGGTGGGTCTAACCCTGTAACATCACACTCCTTGAGCACAAAATAAACATTCTGTACGTAAGATAATGGCTATCTACCCCCTATGTATTGTAAACTTGGGTTTGGGCATTGATGTTCTACATTTGGATCTTGCTAAAGCTTCATTAATAGGTTTTTCCAAGACGTACTGCTCGGCGTAAATCCAAGCCACAATTGTCTAATGAATTTACGATCTCACAAAGTTACCATCAATTCGTCAAGATTTAATCTTTGACTACGTATAGATGATTCTGGGGACACAAAAAAAAAAAAAAAAAAAAAAAAAAAAAAAAAAAAAAAAAAAAAAAAAAAAAAAAAAAAAAAAAAAAAAAACCTCAATGTAACCTCTATTGTAGTATCCTATTACCACCTCAGTCTCGATCTTTTGGTTTTTTAAATTTTACCCCAACATAATTTACAGTATAGACCATACATGTTGCCATTCCGTCAATCAATTGTATGTGATTTACAATGATTTGACACTAAAAATAATTATTTAGGATAAATAGGAGTTTACAACCACTAATGCCCGTGCTTTGCTATAGGTACAAATTCAAGATGTTGGTAACAGTCTTGCAAGGTTTTTTTTTTTTAATAAACATGAGTCGAAATCCAAAGAAAACATGGTTGAAATCGATTATGAGTAACAACAAATTCAAATACCAAAAGTCTTAAGCAATGTTGTTTTCTTAAATGAAAAAAAATAAAAAAGTAGTTCATGAAAAATGTTTAATTCGATCTAATAAATTAATTTTAAAAACTCTTGATTGTATAAGAATTGACATAACATAATCAAATCAATTTATAATCAAATCAATTTAATAAAGTCAAAAGGAACCCAAATAACATTTTAAAATATAGGTTAATTTTTTAAAAAAATAATAGTATGGCATTTTTTTAATTTTGAGATGGAGACTAAATAAATAACTCTACAGTAAACACGGGTTAAAAGAAAAAATCATGAACTAAGTAATGGGTATAATTAAATTATATTAAGTTAAAAAGTTATTTATTATCTTTCTTTTCCTTTCTTTTATTCTCTCATGACCCTACATTAGGTTTGGGTTAGATTGAATTCAAGTTAGATTGAAACTTATAAGATAATTAGAGAGTAAATTGAAAGAAAAGAGCTTATACTAAGATGGGATGCAATTTTGAACTTAATTGAAGGGTTTTTATATAATTAAAGACCAAATTAATTAAAAAAGGTAAAAAAGTAGTTAGCAAGTCGAATACACGATAATAAGTGGGAAGAACCGTCTTGGAGGTGCATGTAAAGTCTTTTAACTTCCATAACTATTCGTGTCTTTGACGTTGCCTCGACATCCTTTTATAAAACAAATAAAGTCTTAAAATTTATTTCGAATTGTCTGCAAATTAAATGAAATTTCTTAACTGCCAATGACTGGTGATGACCGGAGTGATGGCATTGTTTAATATTTAATTACATTGGGATAATATTGATAAAATAGTAATTAGTTAGAGATTAAATTGAGGTTTCTTCATGATTTTTTTGGAGGGTCGGAAACACATTGAAACTGAATAATTAATTATATTATCATAATCTTATTGGTATATATTATCACAATAATTATAATTATATTTAGCTGTATTGTTCCTTCTGAGTTTAATTGAAACAGTAATCGATCTATATATTTAATTGAGAAAATGGCTCTTCCTATCCAATCTATTCTTATATATTTAATTGATTCATACAGTCTATTTATATTTTATATGTTCAAAATACATATCATTAAATTATTTTAAAAAATTTTTATTAAACTTGCAATGTGTGAAATAACTTATATGCACAAATTGTCAAAACTAAGTATTAAATCTCACTTAGTGAACCCTAAATCAGAGTCTCAAATCTTTTTCTCTTACTCTTTAATTATTTGATATTTAAGACATAAATTTTGAATCTATTTGGAAGTATGGTTATAATTATTTTTAAAATATTTTTTATTTAAAAATATATTAAAATAAAAATTTTTATTTTAAAAAAATTATTTTTGATATCAGCATATTAAAATAATTTTAAAATATTTTAAATAATATTAATTTGAAGTAAAAAAACTAAAATAAAATTTAAAATATTTTTAAAGTACAAAAATAAATAAAACCGGAATATTTTCACATATAAGTCACATGGTGTGTTTTCCTGGGAGACACGACAACCTTTTAATGATACATTTGATACAATTAAGCATATAAGAATAGATTGGATACAATCCCAAAAATATAAGGAGAAAGCGTGGTGTGTCTTGTATTTAATGAATAAATTCACAGAGAGATGCCCTAATAAGGAGAAAATAATTATGCTCACATAAGTTGTCGAGGCTTGAACGGAGGAGAGGAGGCAGAGGTGACCAGAGGTGACCAGAGTCGAGGAGCCATTAGGAAAATAATTTAAGGTTTTTATTTAATAATTTTTTTTTTAAAATAAATAAGATATATTTGTTAATTATATTTTATGATGTGAAGATTATCTTACTTAATTAATAAAAAAAATCAAAGTATGAAGATTGTCCAGCCCACTTGTAAAACATGCAAAATAAATATAAAAAAATATTTTAAAATATTTTATTTATAATTTTGTCTAAAATCTACATTTATTTTAGATAAATTTTATAATGTCCAGAAAGTAAATAATAATATTTTATTAGTTACTTTGTATATAGATCCACTTTAATATATATATATAAGACAAAAAAAATATTCATATAATTTTTTATGAATCATGTGTTTTATCCATCTTCTTTTTTTTTTTTGGTATTATCTCTTTCTCCTATATAAATCCGAAATTAAATTTTCCTTAATCTTAAGCCAGCTCTGAGAAGAGGAGAGATCCATCACTTCGCCTTCTACCTTGTTGATAATTAATAGCAAGTACAAACCCACTCACATGGCATATGCCCTAGACAACGCCAAGGCAGCCAAAAAGACAGATATTCCACTCCATTCAAACCAAAGTTCAGAAATCCCTGGACCCCATCTTGCTGTCCCCATGTTTCACAACCCTGTCTGATGGTCTTCCCCAGCGCCACTATAATGGTGGGTCATTTCCCATCAAAGAAGCATCAAAAGGGTTGATCATGCATGCTGCATCATGGGATGCAATGGCTGATTATCAGAAAGTTCACTTGAAGTACCCATGGCTTAATTGGCGATATCAAAAGTTTTACAAACATCTTAATATTTTTTGCACATTATGCACTTCTTGCAATGTGTTCTAGCGATCCTTCTACTTCTTGTGATGCGTGTCATTCCTTATCTACGCATAATTCGCGTTATCGCAGGGATTAGTCGTGATGCGCATAAGCTGACCCGAACACTCTACATAAATAAAATAAAAAAATATTTTCTAACACAATATAAACTTAGATTGTAAAATTATAAGTAGTTTTTTAAAACAATTATATATTGATAATTTTAATTTAGAAATTAAAAAATATTAAAATTTAATAAAATAAATTAATAATATTATAATTAATAAATGATCTAAATAAAATAAAAAAGACAGATAGTATGAATCAATAATTTAATAATATGAAAAAATAAAAAGTCTTAGAATAAATTTTTTTAACACAGAGAAATCACTAAAAGATAGTGATAATACATAAACTTAGTGATAATCTGATTGTTTTTATCACGATAAGTTTTCATAGATTCCTTTTGGGTTGTAGGTAATGAGTTTAAATTTATAATTAACTAACATAAATTTAATAATAAAATAAACTCCTAAACAATGTCTAGTGCGCTAGAAAAAATTCAAATTAAAAATAATTATTTAAAATTAATTAATTAAATAAATAGAATAATAATAAAAATCTTCATGTTAAAATTCTTTCAATGTAGCCTGAATGTTTAATTTTTACATATTCTTGATAGATTTGAGTCCTGATTTTAAACTTGTCATTCTCTCTTGTTTGAATGAATTATTGGACCTGCGATATATAGTTGAAAAGTTTTAGATGTCTAGTATTTATCCCAACTTTAATCGAAATAAAATTCCACTAGTAGCTCTAGATATGTCTTAAACAGTACACAAAGGTTTTGTATTTAATAATATTAGTTTACTAATTTTGACCCTCTGAAATATTATGTTCCCTAACTTCATTTGATTTGAAAATTTATCATAATATATTTTCATGTAAAATTTCAGCTTTGTCCAGTATATGGTTTAAAAAATATGTTCAGTCTTGCAAAACTAATCAAACATTTTAAGGTCAAATTTAGATCTTACTTGGTTTAGATCATAAATTTAGTAAACTTGTAAAACTGGATAGAGTTTATTGATTTTACCAATTTAATTAATTTTACATGAATTAAGTTTAATTTTACGAGTTTCAAGTTTTTAATCCGATTTAGTTATATTAGATACACAATGACTCGTAAAATTATAAAATTTTAAAATTCAACTCTAATAACCTTGATGGCGTTCCTCTAAAGATTCCAGTGAATTAGCACTTGAAAAAAGAAGAAGAAGAAGAAGAATATTAATCCCCATTCAAACAGAGAGCCATTGGAAGTGAGAAAAAGAAAAAGGAGAGGAAGGTGTTCACAAATGGAAGCCATTCTTCTTGAGTTCTTGTAGGCCACACGAAAGGAAGGGGAGGAAAAACAATTCAAATGATTCAAATGATATCTGTATCTCTCTAATGGGACAAGGAGGAGGGAGGATCGTTGACATTAAAGTGAAAGTTATGAAAATGTTGATAAGATGAAAGACAGTAATGGTAGCAGTATCAATTACATGGTGTGGAGGGAAAGCAAATATTAAAAAACATTAGGGCCCATTTTTTTTTCTTTCACCAGCAATATATGATGTTCTAGCATGTTGAAAAGAACCCCCACAAGACCAGAAACTTGCTTTATAGTACATCCTCTAGCCCCTCCTGCCCACGAGATTATTTGGTTCCATGGTCCCATGCTGTTCTTTTCATAACTGTGCTTACAATGTGTTGCCTCTGAAACAATAATTGCACTCCCTTCCCTCTCTCTACTCATCTTCAGAGAAAACCCAGAAATCATTTCTTGGCTTTCTAAATTGAAATTTCTTGGTATCATCCACAATTTGCACAAGATGAAAGTTGGTCCGTGTATAATGAACATTTTTGGAGGCCAAATGATGCTAATATTTCATGCTTTGATGAGATAAATGGCAAAAAAATATCCATTAAATTCGAATGCAATTGCAGTTCAAAAATATAATATTTAGGCACATGAACCAAAGCCACCCTTGATTCTTTCCCCTTGTTTTTCTTTACTGTTAAATTTAACTTTACCCCGCAAAAAATCACCCTGCGATTGTCTTTAGATTCACTTGCACACAAGCATACGGACATGTATATATATTATAATAATAGTCACATGAATCCAAACTATCCTTCCGTATAATATTAGTCTAGGCAGGCACCAAGCATTCCTGTGAATCCTGTCAGAGCAATATCAAACCTTCCAGGTGTTTATATATACTGGGCTCAAATTTCACACTGTGGCATCACCAACTCATAAACATGTATATTGCAGAACTAGTTTGATTTTTGGGGCGGATAAAAACCCTAGCTAGCTAGACTGCAATGGTCCAGTTAGTATTTGGTCCCCTACACACTTAAATTCACAGATTCAACTGTGACACTACGTGCAGAAAGAAGTAACAGCTACTAATCATCACAAAATGATGGCGATTTTGTCATACTTGTTGTAAGAACCTCAGTTGTCATCTTTTCTAAGCCCAGAAACTACGAAACTTATCACATGAATTCAAGATATATGAATACTAGGCTCCAAGAAGAAACTTCAATGCTTTTTTCCCATTATAAATTCAGTTCAACATTCCATCAACTTAGTGAACAATAGATACAGATCATTTGTTTGGTCACACTCATCACGTTTTGCTAATTGATGAGTCTTATTCGATCCATTTGCCTGCAGGGTTTTAGTGGTAACAATAATGGGAACATACATACAGACATACACACACACACACACACACACACACACACACACACACACACACACACACACACACACACACACATGACCATGGTGGTGTTTTGAAAGGAAATATAGGAAAGGGCAACTGCTGTTACATTTTCTATGTGCAACTCGGAAAGATGAACACTACAAGTTTGCATGCTCTCTAAGAATAAACAGTGCCGAAAACGCAGAATTAAGTTCAGTATTAACCTAATCACCTCATTAAGAGTGGAAAAGTTTGCAATCAAGAATCATTTACAGCAAGCTAAGTGTGGATGTGAAGTTTTTTTTTCTTTTGTTTTTCTGGAAGGCATTCTGCGGAAAGCCTGCACGGTCTTACCCTCTCTAGAAACACATTTTGAAACCCTATGCTCACCTAGAGCATCCACATCTCCAGTTAGAACAAAAGCTCATGCTTTGGTCCCCCCCACCTCAATTATTCAAAAAGAACAAAATCGGGAAACTACATCAAGGGAACAAGTAGATGCTTGCCTCATCAAAGCCTAAATCGTATGGCTGGTTTTACTGAGAGTTACTGTTCATGAAGATGTTTGCAAATTATGAAAGGATTTCGAATGACAGAAAATGAACTTCGTATGATAAGAAAGGCGCTTAACCAATACAAAAGCAACTATTATCTGATTCTTGGTTTTTGTACAAACAAAAGGAAAAGGTTAATAACAGTCAAATACAGAAACTGCTGGTTTCACTTGAAGGTGGAGCTGGGATTTCCGACTACGCTTTAAAGTGGGTGCACCCACCGGCACCCTTTGTGCCAGCAGATGCATACACACCAAAAGTACTCATCATTTCACCCATAATGTGATACACAGTGTGGAAGGATATATTGCAGTTGATTAATATGGAAATGAAAATCAAAATGACTAAATCAAGGATATATGTGATGAAAAACTACTCAACAAATATTTCGGTTACTGATTTTAACTTGATGTTCTGGAACCTTTTTCAATCTACTAGAAACATTTGGATGGATCTCATATTGAAGTATAAGATGGAAAGTTGAAAACAGAGATCCACAACATAAGCAGACTTGCAAGATACAAGAACTTTGATTGTGGAATAGTTTCTGCATTTGCAATGCATATAATGGGTAAAAATGAGCATAGGAGGCAAGTCAAAAGTAGCATTTATATAGACTTCATCACAGCTTCGTGCTAAGTGCTAACCCTTCTCCTATATTGATGCTGTGGCTTTGGAACAATAATTTTCAAGATACCGACTCTGCTCCCGTAATCTGCAAAGAGATGATAAAGATTTTTATAATATATATGAAGATTTGACACGGTTGGTACATTTGGCAAAGAATACCTAGTTTGCAAGTATCTAGCGTGCTTGATCCTGCTCTGATAAAATGTACCATTTCAAGTTCAAATTCTGAGCCTTGCATTACAGCACCATCTAAAACCTCTTCTTGTTCCAAAAACTTATGCCACCTTGGGCATTATATTTCGATTGTTTTGTCCTGTAAGAAGCAGAACAAGCAGTATTGTACCTGACACCAATCCCAGATAGAATTTCTCTATTCTTTCAGTCTGTTACAGCTAAATTACAGCAGGGTGAAAATTCATTTCCTAGCTTTGTCTAGGATGGCAACACATTCTTGACTTGCCTGACATTTTCATACATATTTGATTTCGGAATTAACGTTCATAGGGTTGGGAAACACATTCTTAACTAACTAGAGCAAGAAATCATGTAAAAGTTAATTGGGAAACACAGTGCAATGTCAATGCCATTATGTCAACCCCAGAACTAAATCCTTCAGGAATACCTGTGTTATGACATCGACTAGTTACTTGAATAGTTTAGGATACAAAGCTAAAGATATTGTCGAGTCATGTCCAAACTTTGCATAAACTGCACAGAACATAAATTCTAAGATGCAATTGCAGCCGGTAGAACTGGAGAAACCAATCTTTCCCACCATTAAGTGCAACTTATATTCCGTGAAACAAAGAAAATACAATAGGAAGGCACTAGTTCTCCACATCTAACATGATGCACGGATCACAGGAAAAGGGAACTCAGGAGTGATGAAGAGTGACAGGTTACAATGATTAATAGTGAAATAGCTTAGACTGGATAGGAATTGATCCTTTCAATGCAAGCAACAGTAATAATGGAAGATCAGCACAATCAGGTGAACATCTCTGGAGAGCATTCAGAAAGGGGGCGAGGGGAACTGGCACACTACCAGTAAGAAACTGGACAGTTGCTTATGAATGGGAGGAAAAATCAGTAGTTTAGAGAAATCAACTAGTTGAAACCAACATGCATATCTAATCTAAACAATGACGAAAAATTCACATTTATTTGAACCAATTAACAATTTACTCGACAAAATAATTAAGAACTCAACTGTTTAAATATAATAAAACTTTATGACCTCTATTGTAACATAATTGAGCAGTTAAACAATAATCATATAAACAATAAAAGAAGATTAGCGCTTCCAACTTTTAAGCAGACTCATCTTCATAGCAAGTCTAACACTCAAAAGGTAACCGATGACAGAAAGAAAGCAGTAACACTTGAGAAACATGAACAGCACAACGGGCATCATTATGATGCTTGAAGGATGAGGTACAAACGAGTAGGTGATAGTTTGATTTCTGAAAAAGCACTCCATAGCATATATTATATCATGTTTACTTTTCAACGTGATATTTTATATCATTATTAATAATTCATTTGTCAAAAATACTGCTATATAATCTAAGCCATTAAATGAAGAGAAAAAAGAAAAAGAACGCAGTGGAGTTTGCAATTATCAGACAAGAAGAAAATCCTGTTGCAGATAATTTCTTGATAACTCTAAGAAATCAACAATATTTGTATGCCTAGAATGAGTAGTGTCAGATTCAAAATAAAAACAGAATGTACAGGGTTAAACTAAAACATTAATCGTCACCACAAAAGCAAAACATAATTAAGCCAGCAGGTAGTATACCTCATATCAAATCTAAAATTGATGTTCATACTTCCTAGCTCCTGTCAACTACTGCCTAAAAATGGGCATTTATTGTATTTCAAGATAAATTCAGCTCAAATCAGTTTCCTTCACATAAGTTTGAGGAAGCAGCCAACGATTTAGTTTGGAAGGTTCACTATTAAAAAAAAAAAAAAAACACACACCTTGTTTTACTTAGTCCAGTACCTGTATTGTTATCTTGTATTGTTATCTTCTACACAAACAAGAGAGAACAAAGTCTAGGGACAGCAGCCTAGGGAATGCTGAGACTGTCTAACTGATTTGCGCTCTAATTGTGTACAAGCTCCATAATAGGAAAGAATTACACAATAATTAGACTGCTATAATAGGAATAACTTGTTAGAAGAATCCAACTACAATGATAAATATGACTCCAATCCAAATGGGAAAGAAACACATATAATTAGCTAGAAATTACAAAAAAACTTCTCAAGAAACATAGACTGAAATTAGTAATGATCTCATTTTAATAATTTGGCCCACAAACTGGGTGTATGGAGTAAAGACAACGGCACAAAGTAGCATGTGCTCAGTGTTGTTAAGTTTACCGATACTGATATTTGGATGGAGGATACTCCTAATGCTATAGTTAGTCAGTGTTGGATGATTCTGTTTTTGATATTCATGATTAAATGTCACTATATCTTCCCAAAGAAAAATAAAAAGTAAAGAAAACAAATAGAGAGAAAGAAAGAGGGAGAGTAGAATAAAAAATTGTCTGCTTTTCCTTTCTTATGGGATCAAGAGAAAAAAGCACATTGAAAACATAGCTTTAAGGTTCCAATGCACAGATTCCAAATACTGTTTACTGTAACTACTACTATTGGTTTCTTATATTTCCATTTTATTAAATTAAACAGGTTTAATGCGTCATACACTCATATAGGCACAAGCATAGTCTCTATATAACACCATGTCAAATACAATACACAAAGCCCAGGTCATGCCATCCAACTTGGTACAGTCAAAGAGGGCTAAACAACAATGAAATGTTAACTTCAAATGTCTTTTACCCAAATGTCAAAGAAGAAATTCCAGTCTGCTGCTGCTTCAAAATAGGTCAGACAGGAGAGATAGAATTCACCACCCTTTATCTTGCAACCACCAAGATAGAAGGCTGGAAATGTCAGAGGGCCACTTGTAATATTGGGTTTCAAGAAACTAGTCAGGTTGATCCTATTAACAGGACAACTATTTACCTCATTAAAAAAAAAAAATACTCTTCTTACAATATCTGGGACAAATCAATTTGACTCCCAAAGGATGCTCTATCAAGAAATAGATTTCATAGTTAATACCAAACCTCTACTATATTGGATATTAACTCAACCTCATAATTATCAGTAAATTTGTAGGAAAACTACAATATATTTAAAGGTTTACGCAACAAAGAGCATCAATCAAAGACAAAGTATAGAAACCAAATTATTTCAAGATGATAAAATACTTACTTAGCATACTACAAGACAGACAGGATGACTAAAAAAACATTTGGTCATTGAGAAAAGATAAAGGAAGATTTGTTTTGGGGGTAAATCTAACAATTTGACAGCATCAAGGCAGACAGCAAAGTTATTTAACAAAGTTCAAGAAAACTAAAAATAGATTCCATAACACCAGATGCATAACAGGAATGAACTAAACAAATTTACTTCTTTCCCTAGCACAACTAACAATGGCACAGCAGTTTAAGCGCAAGTAAAATTTAAAAACCCAACTACTTGACCATAACTTCAGAAGTTCAAATGCAAATTGCGACTCATGCTATAAGCAAGCATGAAACAAAACATCAGGATAAGAATAGGGAAGAAGTACTTCAGAAACATGAATCACTAAATCTTATTTTCCACTAGAAAAAATTAATCATACACTGAAAGGAAACAGTTTCAAGCAGTATAGAAAGCGTTCGTACCAAAATTTGTGAAACAATGCCATTCTGCATTGACATCACAGAATACTCCACGTCATAAACTCCAACAAAAGCCTACACAGATACATCTGTAGCAGCAGTATCATTACTAAACTTCTTGGAACAGAAGAGATTCAAAACATCAGCACGGTTTCGAATGTAAATTGGGCATTTAGACAAGAAATCTTGTGCTTCGCCATGCCTTTTGGCCTTGAAAAACGCTTTAAACATACGAAGAGCAACAGATATAGATGGAAACTTCTTAGTGGTCATAGCATTCATAAAAGCAATGGCATCATCACCTGTTCCAGACTTTGATATGAACTCAAAAAATGGATCTATATGGGGTGGAATGCCATGGCTTTGCATCAAACCCAACAGGTTTAAGGCATCCTTAAATACACCCTGAACCAGTAATTTACTTATCAATACTTTGTATGTAGTCTGCCAAGGGCATAAATGATTATGACAGACATAATCACACAAAAGATTGCATGCATCCATCGCTCTGTTCTTGCGGCAATATGCATTTACCAACAACTCAATGGCATAACCAGCACCAGAAACTCCTTTTTTCTCAACCATTATTTTGAAACAATCAGATGCTTTTTCAAGATCCCCAGATACACAATGCCCTTCAATTAAAGATGCCCAAGCCTTGTAACTCAAATCTCTACCAGATGATTCCATATGATTCACAAATTCATTTGCTTCATCATTCTTACCAGCACTAGTAAGCCCAAATGCAATCTTTCTCTGCAAATTACCACTAGCTACAAAGCCAGCTACCTTCATTTCTCTTAAAACCTTATTGCACTCACCAAATTTACCAACATTCGTTAGAGCTTTAAGAACTGCATCCAGCATAGGATCTGTCAAAACATTCCCGTGGCCAGTAAAGATTTCCACAACTCTTGAAAACAAACCCATATCCAACTGTTTACCAACAACTATTTTCCTCAACAAATAGGTGCAACATTTAGCTGAAGGCTTATTTGCACCAGTCATTGCAAACTCGTATAAGTCTATGGCCTCCTTAATCATTTTCCTACTCATAAACCGTGCTAAAACAGTATCAAAAGTCCCCCTCTCCATTTCAAACCCATTACTCCTCATTTCATCAATTACCTTCCAAAACCTGTCAATGCAATCCTCCCTCCCCAAAACCCTAGCCATTGCATTATAACTCCTTCCATCATGCTTACACAACTCACTGTCCTCAATCCACCTAAAAAATATCAATGCTTTCACTGGCTCCATCACTAAATGCTCCAACACAATCTTCACTAAGTCACTCGAAAACTCCGCACACAAATGCTTAATTTCCCCTTCAACATCCCCTCCCCAAACCTTATTCCTAACAATCCTACTAACTCTCAAACCAATCTTTTCCACCGAATTATCCACTGATCCCCTTGCAAAAACCCCTTTTAACTTCTCTAAATCATCATTTAACCCTTCTTTCTCAAACTTCTCCTGCACTCTATCGCGCGTGACCCCTGACATGCCATGACCCTTTATCTTCATTTTGTCAACTAAATCCCAAAATTCTACAACCAAACCATTAACCCCCAAAATCTCTAACATCCAGTTATAACTTTTAGAGATCAATCTCCCACTATCCTTCTCCAAAACCCAATCAAAAAACCTCTTGGCCACTTCCGGTTTTGGTTCCAATGACTTCAAAACTTTCAAAACCAAGTCATGACTAATAACAACACTATTCAATTCCAATTCTTTACTAATCTCATCAAATTCATCAAACTTGGTAAAAGCGTCACAAACAAGCAAAACATGATCTGGGTCTTTTGTGGGCTCAACTAAGGATGCTTCAGATGAGAAATTACGAGCAAATAATGGGGTTTTGTTATAAATATTCGGTTTTTGTAGGGTTTCAGAGAAATGAGAGTTTTGTAGTGCAAGTGTGTGAAGTGAAGGAGACAGAGAGCGAAGTAGAGAAGGAGAGTGTTGCTGTAGTACCTGGAAATGATTGGAAATTTTGAGAGATGATAGCGGATACTTTCGGTAGAGAAGAACTCTCCATGAGTGTCTCATTGCTACAGTGTAAAGGTAGGGTTTTTGAGGAGCTTGAGAATCGGAGATTTAGGAATGGTGTGTGCTAAGAAGTGAGCGAGCCAGGGGTGTGTTTCCACTCTTAGGGTTTTAATTTTAGTTGTAGTTTTTTTTTTTTAAAAAAATGTATTTACTCTTCATCTCTTGAAATATTTCCTTCTACTTTCTTCATCATCTTTTTTTCAAGTTAGAAAAGTTGGTTATGGTAGAAGGAATATCTATGTTGTAGTTACACTGCTCAATAAAAATATCTATTAGATTTTTTTATCTCCGAATCTCTATATTGTTTAATCTTATAAACAAATTTAATGTTACCCCACTCAAAATATTTTTTTAAAAAATACATTACTAGTTCTTTATCGTATACTATTTATGATATTTTATTGCTATAGAATTTAATATGAGTTATTGGATATCAAGTTTTACTATATTTGATAGACTTGAAAATACAAAATTTATTCAGTACAATCACATGTGGGAGCATATATATTTTTACAGAGCATGTATAAGTTATACAAATTTACCCGTTCTAATAGCCCTCTTCTATATTCGAGTGTTGTCATTTTATCTTCATCAATGACGAATTTGTTTTGTAGGACTCATTTGTAAATATATCTAAGAATACAGGTGTTAATGTTAGTATTATAAATTCCACAAATGCTAGATGCTAGATTATATTGAGGATTCTAAGCTTATTCTATTATTATTTTTTTGGGTTGAGTTGCTGCTTGATTTTGAACAAAAATGATAGGTCCATTGAAAAGACTTTTACTAGAGATATTCTATGGTGTTTGCTCAAATAAAATGATGAGTATTTTTTTCATCTTCCATGTTTCTCACTTAAAGTTAGATGTGAATTGGAGTTTTTTTGGGATCTATATTTTAATATAATGCATGTATATTATTACAATGAATGGATATATGCAGGGATGGAGCAAGAAAAAAAATTGAGAGGGGTCAAATTAAAAAAATCATTTTAAAAAGTTTTATTTTATTGAAATATGTATTAAATGAAAGCCAAGGGAGGGGATGGGAAAATTTTTTTTGCAGGGGTCGGGGCCCCTGCCAGCCCCCCTGCCTCCGCCACTGTGCATATGGATACACATCAGGTATGGATGGTAAAAACTCGTCGTTTGATTATCTTAGACTCTTTTTAAGAAACTCATGGTTTTATCTCAAAAAATCCTGTAAAATTTAAGATTATTGATAAGTCTATTTTGATGCAAAAATAAATTATTAGAGAGTTCACACCCTAAAAGCAGATTTTAAGTCATTACATAAAAAATAGACACACTACCTAGTCCCAAAATAATTTATAAGCTGCTTAGTGACAACATTTCATGAAGACAATATGGGGGTTTAAGAGGAATGGTTAGAGCACAATGTGATTATCATTATCGAGTACACATTCAGCTCATAGTTGGATATTTTACGAATGCAAACCTCAACTAAAAGTCATGAGATAGACCGCCACTCCCCATCTAACCTAAAAATAAATTTATTCATAATAATTAAAATGTATGAAAGCATCAATCCATACCCGGTGAATAAAAAAAAGTAAAAATACATCCTAAAGCAATACAAATATGAGTTAAAATTAAACAAACCAAAATAAATAGGCAAATAATCAAACAAGAAAAACTCAGTCCAACCAGATAAGGTTTTCCCAGTAAAGTTGTCATCCTGTCGCAAGGCAATGTTGAGTGGCATCATTTTACCTCTTGTTATGGTGTTAGGATGGGAAAAGATTTTAGTTATAATCATAAATCTATGATTATAAAGTTCAGTAATCATCACCTAATATTATGATTACTAAAAAACATATAATCTATGAGAATGTGGATAATAAATTGGTTGTGTAAAGAAAAGATATAACATCCTCAGTGCACCCAACATAAAGTAAATTAAATTGTTAATTGATTTTTTTAAGTCAAGTTTATATTTATTAGTCTTTTTCTAAGATTTAAGAGAGATCTTTTTATGTTAAATTCTAATTGCTCTAAAATTTAATTTTTACGTATTTATTTATTTATATATTTTTTTGTTTTTATATCTTTGATTTATGAGAGCATATTTTATTCTATAATTTTATATTCTTGAGTATTAAAGTTGTTATATATATATATATATATGTGTGCGCGCGTGTGGGGAAAAAGAAAAAGAACCCATAAAATGAAAAAGCATAATATTTGTTGTAATCAAATAGATTTAAGAAGGGAATTGGCATTTTAGGCCATTTGGACGCATAGGGTCAATTGATGAAGCACTAAGCTGGCACTGTTATGATTTCATAAACTGAAACAATTGAACATGCACTGAACTTAAAGTTAAAAATTTCTAATGAGGGCAAAACATGCATGTGCCTACAAACTTACGAGAGAACTGCAAATCAGAGAGCTCTCTTCTTTATATCAAAGGAAAGACACAAAAAACAGTGCTGAATAGATGAATACTGCATTTAATTTCTAAATTTCGCGCAGCAGACGATCATTGGACTCCATCGATCCAGCTTCACTTGTTCATGCCAGTTGCATTCTTTACTCCTTCAACAGCTTCCTGTGCCTTAGCCCTCACCTGCTGACCAGCCTACACAAAGAAGGAACTATCAAAATAAAAAAAAAAAAAAAACCACCACTGCGAACTCACTCGCTAAGAATATCTGTGCCGAAATATACAACTAATTATTAACACTTTGAGTGTTGCGACTTTTATTCATGAGTGTTCCTCATTCTTTTTCTGTCATTCTTAAATCTTATGCACAATCCATTGTGCCATTGTGGTGAGAATGAATTCTCTAAAAAAATATAGAACACGAGATTGAACAAAAATATGTGAACCTCTTGCACTGATTCCTTTGCAGATTGAGCAGCATTGTCAGCTCTGTCCATCAAGTTACTGGCCTTCTCCTGAAACAAACAAAATCGATATGTTATAGAGCATCACACAGTAATTTATATATATAAAAAAAAGCAAAATAGAGAAAGAAATCCATAAGCTAACCTGAGCTTGGCCTTTGGTCTCACCAGCTTTGTAGCTCATCTTATGGGTGTTGTCAGCCATTTTTGGTTATTGATTTCTTTGAAAGATTTGGGAGAACACAAATGAGTTGAAATCTAAAACACTCGAAAGATTGAAAACACACAACTTCTGGTAACAAATATCAGCCATGGTTGCCTTAATTTATAGTGACTAAAACCAGGCCATTGCTTGACACGTAAAATGCTGCGCGGAGTGCTGGCTGAAATGTGTAAATTCCTTAGACTAACACGTGTCAAGCTGTTATCGAGGCTTAGATTTTGGGCCCTTGGACCAGGGCGTTAGCTTTTTGTCCGTGCTAAGTTTTGACCGGTTCTGTAGTGGAACAACAGGTTCGGGTTCTTTATAGATTGAATCCCGTTAATATTGTGAATAAAATTTATGTACCTGGAAGCTAACTATTGGACTGACTTCAACTTAGATAGCAGTTGTTACTGTATTTGAAAAATATTTTAAAATAAAAATAATTTTTTAAAAATAAATAAATTATTATTATATTTTTTTAATAAAAAATATTTTTAAAAATAATTACAATCATAATTTCAAACACTCTAATTAATTTATCCTCTAAAAAAACACTTCCATTCACATTATGGAACAAACGTGAACAAATATTATTTGAAGGGATGCAAATATTATTTGAAGGGATGAAATCCTTGTATTGTATTTTGATGGAGCATTTATGTGGAGTTTTTACAAGAGACAATAATGTAGTAATTGTTTTTATTAATGGAGTGAGGTCAAATTAATTAGTGTAGACGGTCGCACTATATTGAAACTATTTAATATTATTATTAATTTTAATTTAATAAATTAAATTAATTTATATAAAAGTTGTTTTAATAAAACCGAGTTACCTGAGGATCTAAAAATATTTTAAATAACCAGTTAAAAACATGACTTAATTTTAAAAAAAAATCATCTTAGTTTTTTTATATTGATAAATTCATAATCTAGTGATGGACTCTACTAAATCTAACAACTGTATATTTTAAAAACTAATTTTTAATTAATTATATAATAATAATAATAATAGACACTCGTAAAATTAAGTATAAATCAATGTCAAAATATTTGTTTGAGATTATAATAATCTTATAGAAAATAAATCAAATAATTTATAAAGGAAAATTTAAAATCAAGTTTAAAAATGACAAAAAGAAAAAATAAAAATAAAAGAAGAAGAAATTCTAAAAAGAAAAAACCACCTGCTTCATTTTCTATATAAATAGTGAAGGAATTCGTTGCCCCCAAAGTTTTTATTATATAAAGTATAGTAGAAATATAAACTTGTAGAAGAAATTAATATTTTTGTTATTGATGGTTACAAGTGTTTTGTTACATAAATAAAGATTTATTTTAATTGTGTTGATTTGTGAAATAATAACGGTAGGTTATGTTGGACATCATTTTAAACCTCACATTATAAATACATGATTGAATACAAGTTAATTAATCTAAATTAATGATATTTCAATATTTGTTTATTAAAAAATAAATAATTAATTAAAATAATATTGTTTTTTCTTAAAAATAAGTCAAATTGTACTTGAACTAGGTTAATTAAATTGCTGGTTAATTTGTAAGGTTGAATAAATTTTTATCCAGTTTAATTTTAAATTTAATTTGACCAAATTGCAGGGTCAATGAATTTAAAAACTAAGCTATTAGACTGAAGTGGATTTATCAAATACTAGTAAATATTTATAAATAAATTCCTTTTATATAGCTAGGATAAATATAGTGAAGAGTATAGGCTTTCTTTATTCACCTGATTTCTATCTGTATGAACATTTTACATCTATATATATATTACCATTAAATATTATTTTAACAATTAAATATTCAATCTGGTCTAATAATTATTTAATTGTATCCATCATATCGACCCAAATATTGTAATCTTGACATTGAAAGTCAAAGTAATGTGATTATAAAAATATTAGAGGAAACCAAAAAAACTTCATGCATGTGGTTAACTTGTCTACTTTACTAATATCTAAGATTATTTACTCGATATTCAAGATTAGCATTCAAGAAACCAAATTAAACTATATTCATAATTATTACTGTTG